TGTGTGAGTGTGTGTGTGTGTGTGTGTCTGTGTGAGTGTGTGTGTGTGGGCGTGTGCGTCTGTGTGTGTGTGTGTGTGTGTGTGTGTGTGTCTGTGTCTGTGTCTGTGTCTGTGTGAGTGTGTGTGTGTGTGAGTGTGTGTCTGTGTGAGTGTGTGTGAGTGTGTGTCTGTGTGTGTGTGTGTGTGCAGGGCTGAGCTCAGTCTGATGATGAACAGCACTGACACAAACACACTCCAGCTTCAGTTTAAGATGCTTCTCTTCATTATCATTTATGAGCTGTTATTTAGAAAGCAGTGAAGCTGTGCATTATAGAAAACTCACTAACAAAGCTTGAATGAAGCTCCTCGTCCGCTCAGTGTTTGTCTGCATCAAGCAGCAGTAGTAAAGTAGAGCCGTCTTTCTGCGGCTCTGATCCGTCTGACCCGTGTTCTCCATCATCTGAATGTGTTTTAGGGAGATGGTGGGAAATGCAGTGTTTCTGCTGCAGTATTTATAGCCACTGAACCCTGAGGACCTTCCTCGTGAATGAATGCATCACTGTTGATAAAGCACACAATGCATACGCCATCATTCCTGTGTCTGGATACAGTGGTAAAGTGCTATTCCCTTCTCTATATTCCAGTAAAAAGCCAATAATAAATCATAAAATGCTTTATAGTTGCTTCATGAGATGCATGTGAACCCATCGTCCACCAGGAGTTTACAATCTCTCAGAATCAGAGGAAATCACACAGTAAGCTGAGTTTAACACTCGACACTCATCAGACCTGCTGCTTATGAATCTACACGAGCCGTGCTTATAGCATTTTTAATGTTGCTCAGACACACAGTCAATGTACTGCACTCGACATGAAGAAAATGAGGTGCATTTTAAGGCCATTGTGACAGTTTAGGTGATTCTCATTAAAAACTCAACCAACAATAGCAAGATATTATTCAGAATAAACAAAAGAAGAGGATGTAATAATACTTTGGTATAAATTAAAAAATATATGATTTTTTTGGGTAACATTTAGGACAAATAGAATTTGATTAATAATGATTTACTAGCTTCAGTATTTTATCCAGATCATATGCACCTTATTTTTTAAAGACAGTCCATTATGCTGCTTTATAATGCAAAACTGGTATTTGTTATCATATTATTTTAATATATTATCCAAACATTAACGCACTGTTTTGTAGCGCAGATTAATTAATTAATTTATTTATTTTGCATGGCTTCAATAAAAAGATAAGATACAGAACATACAGAATAGAGAAAAATAAATACATACAGACATAGGCCTATTTATTTATGCATTTATTTAATTCAAATTATTACAAAAATCTGAGTTTTTTTTTTTTTGAAGTAATGACAACAGTAAACATAAATCAAAAGTAAATATTAAAGTCCAAGACATCATCGTCTCATCCGCTTCCTATTGTCAGAAAAATCAGAGCGAAATGACAGAAATATGTTGCATATTGTTGCTCTTTTGTTAGTTTTGATTGCTTCTATTGTCCTCATTTGTAAATCACTTTGGATAAAAGCACCTGCTGAATGACTAAATGTAAATATTACACAGATGAAAGAATACTAGAAGTATAAGGATGCTGAAATTTGAAGCCATATTTATTTATTTATTTATATATATATTATTCATTTAATATCAGAACATGTTTTTTTAACAGCATTTTTAAACATTCGTTTTTCACAAAATGTGAATGTTATAAAGAGTATAAAAATTATTTAAAATGTTAAAGGAATTAATGAGTGAATGGATTTATTGGTGTCTGTGCTTTTCTGAAGCATCGTTATTTTAACACTCATTATAACGGTTCTTCTTCAGGTGACACAGGACTCATTTGTAAATCACTTTGGATAAAAGCAGCTGCTGAATGACTAAATGTAAATATTACACAGATGAAAGAATACTAGAAGTATAAGGATGCTGAAATTTGAAGCCATATTTATTTATATATATATTATTCATTTAATATCAGAACATGTTTTTTTAACAGCATTTTTAAACATTCGTTTTTCACAAAATGTGAATGTTATAAAGAGTATAAAAATTATTTAAAATGTTAAAGGAATTAATGAGTGAATGGATTTATTGGTGTCTGTGCTTTTCTGGGATGCTGAAATTTGAAGCCATATTTATTTATTTATTTATATATATATTATTCATTTAATATCAGAACATGTTTTTTTAACAGCATTTTTAAACATTCGTTTTTCACAAAATGTGAATGTTATAAAGAGTATAAAAATTATTTAAAATGTTAAAGGAATTAATGAGTGAATGGATTTATTGGTGTCTGTGCTTTTCTGAAGCATCGTTATTTTAACACTCATTATAACGGTTCTTCTTCAGGTGACACAGGAAGTCCCATGTTTCCTGTCTGCCTTCAGCTTCACAGATGACATCACTTCCTGCCTGGAGAGACTGAACCAGTATCCCGTTCATTTAAAAAACACCTAGCAACAACTCAGAACACCCTAGCAACTGCATAGAAATGTACAAACAAATATGATTTTTAAAATGTGTTTAACACACTAAGCAGTATTTTGAAAATGAAATTTGTTTTTTATAAAAATGTTATAAACACTGTTTACTAATTTTAAGTTCTATTTATTTATTTTGTTTGAGTTTGTGTGTCGGCTTTCCTTTATTTAAGACTATATTTAACTATATATAATTTACTATATATCATTTATTTAAGACTATATATATAAACAGTATTTCTTAACATTTGATTTTCACAAAAATGTAAACATTGTTAACAGTATTTTAAATAATAATAAATAAATAAAAATAAATCATAATAATAAAATAATATTTCAAATAAATAAAAATAATTATTAAATTTTGTATGTGTAGCTGTGTGTGGATCAGTATATGGATGAACACAGTCACACCAGCAGGCGGCAGGAGAGTCTCAAGCAGAGTAATTAGACGTTTGTAAAGCAGCTGATTAAGACGAGCTGATCTGTGATCTGTCCTGCAGGCGCGGGTTGACGAATGTCCCTCATCTGGACGCAGCCGAGAATCTGTGTCTCCTCAACATGCAGCACAACCTCTCTCTCTGTGTGTGTGTGTGTGTGCGTGTGTGAGAGTGTGTGTGTGTGTGCGTGTGAGAGTGTGTGTGTGTGAGAGAGTGCGCGTGTGAGAGAGAGAGAGTGCGTGCGTGCGTGTGTGTGAGAGTGTGGTCTCGAAGGTGCGGGACTTGTGCTGGCAGCTCATGCACTGGACCGTGGACTTAAACTGACCCTGGAACAGAGCTACGATGATGGACTCGTTCAGCAGCTTGTGTTTGGACCAGGCCAGCTCTGCTGTGCTCACGTCGTCCAGATGATCGATGTCCTCCTCCTTATACCCGCGCCGTTTATCCGCCTGACAGACAACGAGAGAATGTGTGTCTTTATCGTGAGGCGCATGGCTCCTGGAGAACACGCTCAGCTCTTGCTCTCAGCGCTGTACCTTATTGAGATCCTCGTGCAGGCCGTCCATGAGGAACAGCAGCAGCTCCTGAGAGTCCTGGTGCTCGTAGCTGGAGAAGCGGTTGTTGATTTTACAGATGGTGCCTTTAAAATCCTGCGGGCTGATCATTTTGTACTGTCCTGACCACAGCGCCTTCATGATGATGCTGAACTCCTCGGCCACCTCGCCCTTGTGACCCAGAATATTGGCCCTGTGAGAAACACACACACTCAGTCACTCTGATTCACAATGAACGTGATCGTTTAATCAGTGACATCTGAAAGATGGATTACCGGTTAATGTCGTCCTGATAGATGTTCCTGTTGAAATAGTCTGCCATGGCAACGGTGTTACACAGGCACTGGAGGATAGAGTTCATGTAGCAGGTGTTGCCGAGGTTACGGAGGCCCGTTAGCAACGGCCCCTGACTTCCAAACACCGGGTTCAGGTTCCGGATCTTAGCCGCAGACGGCCGAGCGATCTCCACCTTAGTGTAAGCAGCAGCGGTCAGCGAAACTGCAGAGACCAGCAGCTCAGTTAGAAACACCAGCGAACAACAACTCTACACAATAGAGCTGGGCGATATGGCAAAAAATTGAAAAAAATTCAGTTCCCGAATGAACATATTTCTATTCTATTTATTAAAAAAATTTAATTGTGGCATTAAATTTGGATGAATCGATAAAATTGGAAAAATGGCCCAGCCCTACTCCACAAGGAACACCTGCTGCTGCTCTTACCTTCATCCAGCCGTCTGGCAGCCCAGGGACGGTTCGGCCCATCTCCTCACTGTGTGCTCGTGTCAGAGACTCCCTCTGGAACACACACGCACACACACACGTGTCACACACTCATGTTCAAGTGTGTGATGTTATTACGCAATACAAGGTGTGTGTGATATGTATCGTCTGTAATTATCGTTTTAATGTCATTATGGAGTATGTCAGTTTCTTTTAAAAAACCCAACAAAAACGTGTTAGCGCACACTGTGTGTGTGTGTGTGTGTGTGTGAGAGTGTGTGTGTGTGTTTGAGTGTGTTAGAGTGTGTGTGTGAGAGTGTGTGTGTGTTAGAGTGTGTGTGTGTGAGTGTGTGTGTGTGTGTGAGTGTGTTATAGTGTGTGAGAGTGTGTGTGTGTGTGAGTGTGTCACTCACAGTGCTGAAGGTTGCAGGTGAATCCAGAGACACACTCTTCATGGCAGCGTCCAGCGGCACGTCCTTCTGTGCTCTCCTGTTCTTCTCGTCTCTGGCTTCTCCCTGATCCTCCTCTTCTGCCGTCTGTCTCTCCAGCTTCTTCCTCTCCTGCTTCTCCTCCTCCTCCTTCTTCCTCTCGCTCTGTTCTCGCTGATGTCTCTCGGCCGTCTCTCTCTCCTCCAGGGCTCGTTTGCGCTGCTCCTGCTCTTTGCGGGCTTTCTCCATCAGACTGAGGGTCTCTGCGTGGATCTCCCTGCGCTCCTCTTCGCTCAGAGCTCTGGAAGGGTCCAGCGGGGGTTTGCCGGAGCGGTCGGGCACGACGGGGCCGTTGTGTGCCGCGGGGCCATCGCTTACCGAAGGTTCCTTGCTGAGCTTTGTGCTCGCTGCCGGTTTGACGGCTGGTTTTTTGGACCGGTCGACCTGCGTTCAGAGGAAGCGTTAGTATGTGTGTGTGAGTGTGTGTGAGAGAGAGTGTGTGTGTGTGTGTTAAGATGTCAAAATGGCTGAAAAACTGAATTCGAATTTTGTACTTAAATATTATCAATATTCAAATTATATTTAAATTTAAAAGGCATAATTCCAGTTAGGGAGAAAAAAGCTTAAACCAATCACAAAGAGTACTTTCTTCATTTAATCTAATCAAGTTGAACTTGCATTAATATTACATAGCGTCTCTTGTGCGAGAGCAACGCTGATAGATGTTGCTCTAGAAAATGCAATAAATATGTTCTGTGTGAACGGCTTGGTTTCAGTTTTGACGTAAACAAGATCTTCTCCGCATTCATTAAAATGCAACGACACTTACATCCACTGATAAAGCTGCCTGACGCACACCTAAATTCTAATGCAACGTTTTTGCATTCGAATGTGGATTTTTATTTTAAATTCAACGAATATTCAAAATTAGCATTTACAGCCCTAGTGTGGATCGCGGAGCGCTCTGCTCCAGGTGTAACTCACTAGGGCTGTAAATGCTAATTTTGAATATTCGTTGAATTTAAAATAAAAATCCACATTCGAATGCAAAAACGTTGCATTAGAATTTAGGTGTGCATCAGGCAGCTTTATCAGTGGATGTAAGTGTCGTTGCATTTTAATGTTTTTGTTCGTCTATCCAGTTGAAGCCACTAGATGCGGCGCTGCTGCGTTGTTTATTCTAAATATTGCGGAAAAAGAGAACATCAATGTGGTTTACGTTACTGCCTTTCTGGAGGGTTTTGTTTGGCCTTCTCACTAAATCTCGTGTTTTTAAATAAAAAAAGTACTCTGTGTCATTGGCTTTCAGCCTTTTGTGTTAAACATACATGATGCTGTTTTGTTAATAATACTTTAAGCAAATATGTGGCCCTGCAGCACAAAAGCAGTGTTAAGTCGCTGGGGTATATTTGTAGCAATAGCCAACAATACATTGTATGGGTCAAAATTATACATTTCTCTTTTATGCCAAAAATCATTAGGATATTAAGTAAAGACCATGTTCCATGAAGATATTTAGTAAATTTCCTACCGTAAATATATCAAAACTTAATTTTTGATTAGTAATATGCATTGCTAAGAACGTAATTTGGACAACTTTAAAGATGATTTTCTCAATATTTAGATTTTTTTGCACCCTCAGATTCCAGATTTTCAAATATTGTCCTATCCTAACAAACCATACATCAATGGAAAGCTTATCTATTCAGCTTTCAGATGATGTATAAATCTTACCCTTACACCCTTATGACTGGTTTTGTGCTCCAGGGTCACATTAATTAATTATATTTGGCTTATAAACATTATTTTAAACATTTTGCTCTTTTTTCAAAGATAGTCATGTTATTTTATTGCTTTGAATAAACCTACATTAGTAATATTTTGCTCGATGCGCCCTCTTGTGGCCTCAGGAGAGAAGCCAAAAGCGTTTATCCCCCTCTAACTGAAATTATGCCTTTTAAATTTGAATAGTATTTGAATATTGATAATATTTAAGTAAAAAATGTGAATGAGTTTTTCAGGCATTTGGCAGCCCTGTAACTCGCCTGTGGAGTGTGTCGGGGCGAGGCGGCGGCATCTGTCATTGTGGGCTGTGTGAGCGGCACGGGGGTGTTTACAGCCGGCTCCGGATCCACGGTTCTGCCGTTCAGCTGCGCGTCTGCAGGCTCCTCACACACACTCACGGCTTCAGGCTCCTCCAGCGACGGGTACGAGAAGTTCACTGAAACCACAGCAACAGCTTCACTGCATTCACGGAGCAGCATAGACAGAACATGCACACTAGCGGCATCCACACACACACAAGAACCCTCTGCTTATTCTTTTGTCGTCTGTCGCTTTAAATGCTTGGCTCCTTTCTGATTGGCTGTCAATGTTTCTGTTGTTCATCAGATGAAAATATTGTTCTGAAAGTGATTCCAGTGATATTGTTCCTCCGTGTCGATATATTTCTGGTGTAGAAATTATATTTATATTTCACTATGCTCATGGAGTTAGTGATTATTAAAACTTTATAGTTATTGTCTTTAGTGTTAATGGGCTTTAAGGGGAGTGTTCATCCAAATATTCTGTCATCATCATGTATGAGTTTCTTGGCTTGAACACAAAAGAAGATATTTTGAGCAATGTTGGTAACCGAACTATTGACTTCCACAGTATGAGAAAATACTACAGTGGTCAGTAATTGGGGACTAGAAACTGTTTGGTTACTCACATTCTTCAAAATATCTTCATTTTTGGGTGAACTATCCCTCTAACACTCAACATCAGCCTATTCAGCTCAATTTATTTATTTTTATTGCCATACCAGCATCTACGGCTCCTATTCATCACAAACCTCTTTTATCACTAATAACTATCCATGCGTCTCCTCATTTGCTTTGATACAAGAAACTGAATTCACAAATCGATTCTTTTGAATTCTCACAGCAAAGCCAGAATTTAGAAAAGTTACGATTTGTTCGACTTGATTATTCGATCCAAAACAAATACAAAACCTTTTTCCTTTTGCGGCGCTTTTGCATTTTTAGATTATCAAGTCGATCACAAATTCTAACCACAAAACATTTTGTTGGTGCAAATTGAGACAGTTTTAACTCTTTCCCCGCCAGCGAATATCTGAACATCAAAATAAAAATCAGAGCCTCTACTTCTAAACAAAAATAAATAATTTTTATGCTAGCTTCAAGCATTCTTTTTTTAATCAACACTTGAATGTAGGTAAGCTTCATAAAAAAAGCAACATATTAAAGGGGTCATATGATGCGATTTCAAGTTTTCCTTTCTCTTTGGAGTGTTACCTCCGCTCACTCTAGCCCTCTGTGTGTGACGCTGTGTTTCGTTTGTGAAAGTGAAACTACTTTGTTTGGTCTTCCAAAAGAGGACAACCAAATACACAACATAATGTTCTTTTTAGCAACATCATATGACCCCTTTAAGCAAAAAGTTTTTACTTTTACAAAAAGTTTTCACATTTTTATTTTTATGCCGTTTATGGTTGATGATCACAATATTTTTCATATGCATGCATTCGAGATTGCACGTTTCTGCGTCTTCCTCGACTGTGTTTTTGACAGTGATTCTAGACTCATTCAGGAGATGCGTAATAGCGCCCCCTAGCGTATAACAGTGAAAACACGCAAACCCAGAAAATTCTGGTTTTGGTGGGGAAAGAGTTAATATCCACAATGCATATCAGCGCATGATAAATCATATGATGTGTGTGCTGTGAGACTCACGCTGGGGCAGGCTGCTGGCCGTCTGCTGTCGGGGGGGTTTGACTTTAGCGTTGCTGCTGTACATTGGGTAAAAGAGCAGCCAGTTATCATATCCTCCATCCAGCACCAGAGGCTCACTGCGCAGGATCGTGCTGCTGTCCCACTGCACACACACACACACACACACACACACACACACACACACAGAGCTGGAGGTACAGTACCTTATAGAGAGCATCCTTCAGACTCTGTAGAGTGGTGCCCAGTTTGAGATCAGAGACGCAGCTGAACCAGTCCAGCAGAACCACGTAATCCACGAAGCCGCGGCGCTTCCAGTCCTCCAGAGACTCTGCAGGGAGCTTCAGCTGGATCTGGTTCACCGTCACCCTGAGCATTAGCAGCACACGAGAGCATTCAGTATTCATATACATGAGTGAAGCGGATTACAGAGAAAGAACACATGTAGAGCGGGACTGGGTTCTATCCGCTATAGAATCAAACGGAGGCGCCACGAGACAGGATTATTATAGTTAACTAAAACTAAAAACATTCAAAGATATTTTTATTATTTGAAATAAATGTTAACTGCAATAAAACTAAATATATATATATATAAAAAAACAAAGTTAGTTGCAGAGACACCATTTGTCATTTTCATTTAGTTTAACTTCATGTACTAAAATTAGTGCCAAACGATTAATCACGATTAATTGCATCCAAAACACAGTTCACACACGTATATTATGTAAACAAAAACATTTTGGATGTGAATAATCATGATTAATCGTTTGACAGCACTAATTAAAACTGAAATTAAATTTAAAAACTACACAGACATAGGAAAATGACTAAACAAAAATAACAGTTTAACAAAAATGAAAATGGAAAAAAAAAAAATATAAACTCATTAAAAAAAAAAAAAAAAACTATAAAAGTATCTCGATACTAAAATAACACTTGTCATTGTCTTCACATATGTCATTGTCATTTCACTAGACATTATGACAGGTCAAAAACATTTTTATAAAATTAAGCATGCACAGATGAATCTTTCACAATAAGCTGCATTTAGAAAATAGATTTTTGGAACATGTAAAAAGCTGACTTCACTATTATTTCAGATTGGCTAGCATGCTGTAGAAATGTGAGGATGAGGATGGGTCAGATGAGTGTGTGTGAGTGTGAGTGTGAGTGTGAGTGTGAGTGTGAGTGTGCGTGCGAGTGTGAGTGTGCCTGCGAGTGTGCGTGTGCGTGCGAGTGTGCGTGCGAGTGTGTGTGAGTGTGAGTGTGAGTGTGTGTGAGTGTGCGTGCGAGTGTGCGTGTCTGTGTGAGAGTGAGTGAGTGAGTGAGTGAGTGAGTGAGTGTGTGTGTGAGTGAGTGTGT